CCTAGGGGGAGGAAGAGGAGCCGAGAGAGCAAAAGCGGCGAATTAATTGTCGCTCGCGCCGCCGACGAAGCCGCTGCGATCTGCGGACCTGATTTGTGGACCGCGCGTATATATCACCGCGGCCACACGCACACGCGTGTTCGTCCGAGTCTCTCTTTCTCTCCCTACTTTCCTTTCTTTCCCTCTTTTCCGCACGAAGTTTGCAGCCGAGGCTACGAGAACGATCTGACTGTACCGTGATGGTGGTGGTGCTGGGTGGCTGACAATGGAAACGAGCCCAGAAAAAGAGTGGGTACGCGCACAAGGGAGAAAGATAGAAAACAAAGAGAGCAGGAGAGGGGAGGGGGAGAGGACGAGGGACGGAAGGGCAAACCAGGGTAGGGGAAAGAGGGACGAAGAGAGAAAACAGGAATAAGAACAGGAGCGAGAGGACCATGCGCGACGTATACGAAGGTGAGCTCCATGTGGAACGGGAGGAAGGGAGATAAAGGAGGGAGAGAGGGGTGACTTAAGGATCCGCAGAAAGAAGGAACAAGGTAGAGGAGCCGGACGATACTACGAACAATGCGCCAACCGGGTCCGCGCGCGGGTTCCCCTTTCTTTCCTCTCTCCATCTCCATCTCTGTCTCTCCCATGAGGTTCTCTCGTCCCTCTTCCATCTCCTTTCTTATTCTTGTTTATTATTCAATGGGGGCCAGAAGGTGCTCGTTAATTGATGGCACCGGCCATAGCCGAGCGGTGCCGAAGAAGAGAGGAAGAGGAAAGCGACGAGGGGGGGAAAAGAAAGGGAGAGCGGAGGGAGGCAGAATCGGGGAATCGGACGAGGAGTGGAAGCGGGAAGGAGGGCCGGCCTCCGCGCGCGGACCACCATCGCCTTATTTATAACGCCGGGGGGGTAACCGAATTCACGATCAAAATCCCGCGTTCCGCGGCATTGATGGATCGCCGTGCGCCGTGCAACGCCGGCGACGACTCTGGTATTTTCAAATGAACCCGCCCCTTTTTCCCTCATGATACCTCCGCACACGGAGGAGAAATCGAGGGATGGGGGTGGAAGCGAGTCGTACCCCTCCGCTCCTCACTCGCTCTGTCTCTCTTTCTCTCTTCTCCCCCTCCTCCTCTATCCCGGATGACATCGACGAATTCCGCGGGGCAACCTGCTGCCGCGGAGATGCCTCGGGGATTCGATTTCTATATGCAGGTGTTCGTTCGTTCGTTCGTTGGATCGATCGATAGATCGATAGATAGCGAAGAACCGCAAGATCGGGACGTGTTGCCCGGCCTCGTGTGTTTATACGAAAGCAAAAAAATTATACTCGAAAAAAATTAGCGAACCGAGAGTTCGGATAAACCTAATCCGATTAAAATCTGACTGTGTTAACATAAATTAACCAGGATGAATCCAGCATGATGCTTGATTGATTTTTATTTCGAGAGACGCAGATTACCTGTATGCCAAAATTGAGATGATTCTTATTCAGATCTAGACTTACTCTGTTGTGATCGCCGTTGATTTCCAAGTAAGTCTCCGAGAAGGAATTGCCTCTGTAATTTTCGCGATAGATTATTGATTACGACGCGACACAGAATAAGCCAGGCCCGATAATCTTCGATTTTGTCTCTCCTATTTTCCGAACATATTGCTTCCCGATGAAATTGCATGACGGAATGTAAACGGGGACACGCGGCGATTATGTGCCTCGTAACGAGCCTAATTAAGTCCGGACTTCGTAAAGTTTCATGGCGAAGATGCATTATCGGCCAGTAATATGCAGTAAAAGTGCGCCTAATGATAACGCTGAAGCACAGCCTTCGTTAAGTCTGTCGTATTATATTGTACACGATTTGTTCTCTCGTAAGCTCAAACTTAAATATCGCAGACAATTTTAGCAAATGTATTAAAAAATCCATTCGGTACATTGCTTTAATGAAAAGAAGGAGATTAGCCAGAATATAATTTTCAAATTTGTTTTTAATCCCTGTGTAACTTGATTTGATATTTTTATTGTGAAACAACTTTGATATATTTAAGCAGCTATAATTTTTATTTATTTAAATATAGATATTCTAAACGAGATAAAGGAACAATTTTATCAGTTCATTCTCTGAGCCATTCGTAAAGTGAATATTTTTACAGTAAAAAAATTCTCATATTGTCGCAGATTGCTGGGCCGCGGTTCCATGCACGTGTTCTCCAGCGAACAATTTCAAAAGCTAATGGACGCGAGCGGCTTCACGGGCCCCTGGCATTCCTTGGTGGATCTCGGAGCAGGTGATGGCGCAACCACCGCCCACGTGGCGCATCTCTTCGAAAAGGTGTATGCCACGGATATCTCGCCCCCCATGAGGTGGGCTCTGGCGAAAAGGAAATTCATGTATGTAAATTCCATCAAGTAGCCGTGCATTTAATCTTCCGGGAATCCATTTTTACGACGGCGCGGCACACGGATTTCTCACAAATGTGATGACTTACGAATGTGACACAATAATCTGTTAATTTCGCAAATTTAACACACACACACACACACACACACACACACACACACACACACACACCTCCTCCGACACGC